CCTTACGATATATCTCGTATATCCGTGTTTTTTATAAAGGACGTCAACTGTATACATGTATATACCTACAGACTGATGTATTGTTTAGGATAATATTTTGAATACATTTTTATTTATATATGTATTGTTTTATGCATATATATGTATATAACTATGTGTGTAAAATTAAATACGATGGATAAAATAGTGACAAAGCAAGAAAGAACTTTTTAAAGTCAAAGAGAACAACAATAACTAATATTACATTTAATCTTCTCTGTTCGTTTAAACTTGGAATTATAATCTTTATCCATTAGAAGTTGTACTAAAAAATGTATACAGATTTAAATTTGACACATCCATATGGAGTATTTTTCAGCACACTATTTTTTTTCTCTCTTATAAGTTTTTTCACTTCAAAACAGAAAAAAAACCTATCGAAAAAAATAAATATTATGGTAGCTAATATGTCATATAGACTGATACACGCGATATATTTTCTAGAAGTCTTGCATTATTCGCATGAATAGAAATTTGCAATACATTTTTCATTATAGTTCTTGAATAAATAACTTTTTAAAATATGATTCAGGAGTATGCTTTGTTTCCTAGAGTTGTTGAAATCGTAAATAATTTGTCAAATGAATAATTCTTAGAAATTAGAATACAGTTAGGCTATGATAGTAATAATCATTTCGTTTAAGTTACAGAATTTTATATTCAAAACTATGGTTGTTAAATCGTATATAATTAAAAAGGTGCATTTTTTACGTTACAATAAGTATCTTTTTTAAAAATTAAAAAAAAAACTTGTACAATAACTGCAAAAACTGTATAAATATATTTTTTACACAATTCATAATTTTCAAGGACAATGAAAAATTATGTACGAGTACGATTTCACTACTGTCCACCATATATAAACTTTTCAAGAGACCTATACTTAAAAGAATACAACCCATATTGAAAAATGTACTATCCATAGAAAATAGTGGCGTAGACATGATTTCTGAAAGGGAGGGATCAAAAAAAAAAAAAAAACAACATAGCTTGATTGGGGAGGGGGAAATTTGAAAAATCCCTCATCCTTTCAAATCTTCTACTTAGTTAGTATTGAAAACTGACTTTGTACTTTTATTTAAGTATGAAAACAGAGTATTATTTTTTCTTTTATTACTCATATTTGATTAATATATAACAGTAATAACTATTATCATAAGTTATAACATATGTTATGGTTACCAACTTTATTGTTTAATAACTATAATATTTTTATTCACTGTTGGATGAAGTCAAATGCTAGTAGGTTTGAATTTATTGTAAATTATGGTATATATATATATATATATATATATATACATCATACAGCAGAAATTATAATTAAATCGTTTTCAATTTGATGTATTATATGTACTCAGTGCGCACCGAGTGCAATAAGTAATAATGTACATTTGACCAAAACTGGATTAATTGATGTAGTGTTTTAAACTTGATAATCGAAATGTAGCATTGACGACTAATGGCACTGCTATTTTTGTAAATGTAGGTACAATTATGAAATATTTCTCCATGAATCCACAATAGGTGCAATTATCAATAATCCCTTGTTTTTTTTTAGATTTCAGATAAATAGTATGTACTATCATTGATTATAAATACTATATATATAGTATTTATAATCAATGGTACTATGTATACGCAGTGAACTAAATCCGTAGCAATAATGATCTCATTTTCATTTCTCATAACTTAATAACAACGATAGTATCCGATAATATTTTAAATACGGACACTCAGTGGAAGCCCATTAGCCCATTTAGTCGAGATTACATACATATTGTTATATACATAATATTAATTCTATAAATAATAAAATAAGCTATAATAATGTATAATCATAGTCGTCATTGACCATTTCAACCATAATACCAAATATACATTAATTTGCTATACGAAAATAAAATTATAATGGTTTTCAGTATTGACAAAATTGTCAAAATTCAATAGCTTAATAGATTCATAATATCACAAAATATTTTATTATAATGCACACTACATAATATAAGGAAAAACAAAAAAAATAATGGGGTTATCTGATTCCCACTTTTCCCCTTGTATATCCCCTAGAACAGACCGGATTCAGGAAAGACCGATTTTGTTGTAATCAAGTATTAGCGATTGAAACATATGGTGAGAATGATTTTCAACACAAAGATAAGTCTGGTGCCGTCTTCTTCGACTTATTCTCTGCGTACGACATAGTATGGAAAGAGGCCTGATTCTTATGTTGTCAAAAATTAAAAGATGAAAAATAACAGAAAGTACAATTTATTTTCTAATAGCAAGGCCAGTTGATATAAATGCTTAAAATATACTGGTCTCCCTCTGGGTTCTGTACTACTAACGATTTTGTTTAACGTGTATTCATCCGATATAGCTTATACAATTTCAAGAAAATTAATTTATGCCGATGACAATGCTCTAATAGCCCAAGAATCTCGCTATGGTGAATGACATACTAAATCTACAACACTATTTCATCAAATATCATTTTACTCTTAATCCGAACAAAACAGTGGACGTCACGTTATATCTTAATAATCGATAAGCAAATAGAGAACTACAAAAAAGGAAAATAAGGATTGGAGATAATCATATCGCCAATTAAGAATGCTCAAAATATCTGGGAATGAGAATCAACAGGTTTCTGAATTATAAAAAAAAACACCTAAAGGAAGTAAAAATAAGCTAAATTCAAGAAAAAACAAACAATTTCCAAACTTACAGGCTCAAATTAGAGTAGCAATACTAAGGTCTTACAGATATCTGCAATAGCGCTAGAGTACTGTCGGGCCGAATATTAGGCCCGTGTTTGGGCAAGAAGCGCACATTGCCACAAAGTTATCAGAAAACTTAACCGTACCATACAAATTATCACTGGTAAAGTTAGATTCAATTATCCAATCTTATCTATCTTATCTAATTACAATTATTTACCCCCCTCTCCGCCAAACAAATTGGTCTTAAGAAAATACGTTGTTTTCTGAGAAAAAATTTAAAACCTAACTATGTTAAACCGAGTAATATATTAAAACAAACACCATGTTAACTATCAATAATGTATATATACATATAGTTTATACTTATTGTATTCACATATTATAAAACATATAGTTTTAATAAGCAAACGAGTACGCTGGCAAAATAAATAAAACATAACACATTTTTTAAAAATAAATAAATATGCATAGAAAATTAGAAAAAAATAACTTGATAACGAGACTTATGTAAAATAAAATATGTTTTGTACATTTCTCTAGACAGTTTTGAGACGATTATAATATTTTATTATAATTTATCAAAATTAATGTGACTATTAATAAGAAGGAACTGACATCAATCAATAAATCATCAATTTTCATTTAATTTAACACGAATGATTGTAATGATATTTAAAATTTAGATTCGTGGGTAGTTTAGTTAGTTAACTATAATATCAGTTATATTTTGTTAATTTAAAAACAAAAGTGTAAAATAAAAATGTAAATATTATTAATAATTGAAGTGGTGCAATTTTGAAGAAAATAACAAAAATTATCAACCATTTGTGTTATTTTATTATTTAGGACATAAATATTTCATTTTTTTGGAATAAATAATAAATTATGTCGTTACGTGAAAATAAATTAGATTTATATTTTGAACTACAGTTAACACAATTAGACTTTGTGACAACAATTTTAAAACGCTTGTACATTTTAATCTTCTTTAACTATTGACGTTCGATTAAAAATTAAAATTAAATATGTATGAAATAGTGAGTAGAAATATTAATATATATTCTATAAATCTATTAATATATAACATTATAAACAGATTAATAAAAATATATATCAATAGTTGCATATAAACGCATAACCATGAAGGCGTTTACCTACACGAAATAATTCCGTACACACACAAAAATATGTAAACTTTAGATAAAATTAAAATAAGCCAAATAACACAACACCAATTTAATCATTAGGTAACAAAAATATTTTAATATCTATGGGATTCTGGTATTGAATTTGAGATATCAATGCTTGAATTGGGAAAAATTAAGTAGAAGAGCTCAGTCAAACAATTTAGAAACTGTGTTTCACGTGCGCAATTATTTAACAAACACCCGCCTTAACCCCCAAACTACCCTCCACCGACCTTCCATATATTTTGAATACCACATTTGAGCTACACAAATTTTTTAATTCGAAATATAAATATCAATAATATTAATAACAAACCAAACAATGAATAAAGTGTAATACCAAATTATAACTGTAAGTACCAGACATCACTATTTTTATTTTTCTTAAAATGACGATGCCGTTGTAACCACCATATAATATTTTACTAAGAAAATGTATTTTCTCATGTACCTATATAAGTACTAATCGTAAATAGAATTATATTTAACATAAATTTGAATTTGAATTTTGATCAATTATATATTTTGTATGTTGCAAAGCGTGGGTTGTTAGTTCAACGCTTACTGTATAACACGGTTCTATCGATAACCATGTTGCGTAGTCAGTAATTGACCGAACGTATTTTCAGCAAACATAGACTGGGCACTGATAAGTAGTTATACTAGCGG